AAGGCATGAACAAAGGGCCACAGAGCTTCCACACCTCCATATGTGTTGCCCTCCAGGAACTTCCATGTGTTGTTCAGAAACTGTCTGAACTCTGTCTGTTGAGTTTTTCTGGAGACTTAATAGCATAGAGATGATTGATTAAATCAGTAGACATTAGTGATCAATTTAACCTTCAGCCCCTCTTGCTCAGAGGTAGGAGATAGGACTAAAATTCTCAGCTCTCTAATTCTATCTTGGTCTTTCTGGTGACCAGCACCTGTCTCCCCTGCACCTTCCTTGTTCTCAAGCTACCTAGACCTGTCATCCAACCTGAGCTGGATGTTTGTTGCATCACTGCTGCATGTTTGTTTTGTCAGTGATAAGGACTGAACCCAGGACTTTGTGCAGCTAGACTGAGTGATTTTTTTTCTTTTCTTTTTTTAATCTGATCACATTATTCTTGCTTAAAATTTGTTAATACTATGGTTCTTAATCTCTGTCCTGCTTCCTCTTGATGGACTTATGTGATATAAAAAACTTTCCCCAGAAAGATGCTATTACATACTAAGCTTTTTTTTTTTTTTTTTGAGACAGTGTCTCACTGTGGAGTTCAGGCTGACTTTGAACTCACTGTGTAACCCAGGCTGGCCTTGAACTTGTGGTCCTCCTGCCTCAGCCTCCTAAGAGCTGGGAATACAGTTGTGAGCCACCATGTCCAGTGCCCTACAGGCCAAGTTTTGGATATTCACAGACTCTTAGACTGCTGATTTTAAAACCCTTGCTTTAAATGGCCTCCCATCACCTTCAGCATCAAATTATCAGACTGTTACACAAATAAGAAAACCCAGAGAAGTAGAATAAAAAAAATGCTGCTACTTAGAGAAAACCATGTTTTCCTTCCTTTATGGGTAGGACTTTGGGGTATTGAACTGCAGCGACTCATGCATGCTGAAAGTATGTTTGACCACAATACTGCATACACCTCAGCCCATCTTCACATTTTTATACTCACAATTTATATATATTTTGACCTCAATTCTTATTACTTTCCAGGTTACCTCATAGTGTAGCCTAATATAGCTGCTTACTATTAATAAGAGATATGCTGATTATCCCAGTATTTTATTATCTGTTTACATGTTTATCTTTTTTGTCTGAATTTATTTTTTATTTTTTTGTATTTTAGGGAAGGGTCTATAGGATGTTCAGGGTCTCACTAATAGATTGTACTCGTAGTGATCCACCTGTTTACAGCCTCCCAAGAGCTGGGATTACAGGTGTGCACTACCACGCCCAGTCTCAATTATCATCTCAGTGCTCCCCCAGGGCAGGATGGGCACTGCAGGCCCGGGGATTGAATCCCTGGCTCCTGTGTCTGTTTGCAGGCGCTTTAATCTGCTGACCTATTTGGCCGGCCCTTTTGTCTGAATTTATGGACAGTGATTTATATTAATTTTTATATGAGTAGCATAATGGTTGAGACAGAATATTCGACCAATGCTTGGCCAAGTAAGTGAACTACAAAATTTATACATATTTGTAAAAGAGAGTGAGAAAGAAAGGAACAAATTTCCCATGGTCCCATTATCCAGAGGCAACATTTGTGTGCTGTGTGTCTCAGTTACTTTTCTCTTGTTGTTGGGACAAATACCCAACACCCAAAATGAAGGAAGGAAAGGTTTATTTAGCTCACAGTTACTGGAGGTTTTAGTCCATACTTACCTGCCTCCAAGGTAGAGTGGCACATGGCAGAGGGCAGCAGTTCATGGCAGTGGCACAGGGCAGGAGCAGTGGCAAAAATGGCTACAGAGAGGAAGTCTGTCTCCCTTATGCTGTATTCAGGCTATTTGCCCTAGGCTGGGTGCAGTACATAATCCACACTCAGTGGGTTATGAGTTAATCACAAACTGTAGAAATCCACCCCATGGCTGCTCAGGGCTTTGGGAGAACAACTAGATACAAACCATGACGCTGTGATTCTGTGTGGATAGTTTCTACTTTCTAGGGTTTAGTGACAGCATAGATGATTTGGGGATGAGAGCTTGTGCCTTTTCCCACTGCACATAGATATTATAAGCATAATGTATGCAAAATTTCTACTAATTCTGAGAGATGATTTCACCTTGAGACTGTTAATCATAGCAAAGTTTCACTACTTTCTGTTTATTTCTGCGACTATTTTTATTTGCCTGGTACTGGTGATTGGTGTATACAGTGTACCTCTTTTCATGATTCTGGTTGCAACGTACTATGCTCGCAATTCAGCTGTGACCAGAATCATGGAAAGAATTAAGTCTGCAAACTGAGACATTACTGTACTTGTCTTTACCCTTCCTTTTTAAAACCTTACTTTGGAGAGTTTAAAAAATTCTGCATGTGATTCAACCATGTTTCTGTAGAACTTAACCTAGGGTTTTGTGTAAATAATGCTTCTTTTAAAAAAAAGTAATGCTTCTTTTTTTTTTTTTTTTTATTTTTTAATTTTTTAAAATTTATTTGTGTGTGTGTATGGCCAGCTCAGCCCACCAGGGGGCGGGGCTGGCTGGCATGTGGTGCTGGGGGATTGAACTGCGGTCCCTGCCTCGGTCCCTGTGCTTTGCTAATCTTGTTCTAAGTAGGTGCTTTAGACCACTGAGCCATCTCACCAGCCCCAAGTGTTTTGTGTTTTGTGTTTTTTGTTTTTTTTGCTCCGAATGCCTTCAAGGCATGACTGGCTGACTTGTGTTGTGGGGATCGAACCACAGCAACCTGAGCCTGACTGCTTTGTTGAAGCAGCCACTTAAAGGACTGAGCTAAGGGGCAGGCCCCCAGTAATGCTTCTTAATATCGCTGTATAAGATAGTATTTTTTGGAAGAAATTACTTCCAAAATTACTTCCATTGATACTTTTACTATGTGTTTCCTGAAGCTCAACAAGATAAGAACATACTAAAATTTGAACGGGATGTACAGAAATAATATGCAGTGAACACCTCCAGGAAAGTAAAGAGTCCAGGGCTAGTGAGTGGCAAAATGGAAACCATAATCCAGGTCTTTTTTCTACAAACCTTCAGCTAGCGTCTTTCTCATGGCAAGAACTGGTAAAGATTAACTGAACTGGCTGGCTGCAGTCATTATTTAAAAAAAATAATAAATTCAACTTCTAATGGAGTTTTATGCTTCCTGAGTTTGTCCATTTTTTCTTCCATTGTTGCCATCAAGGCTCTATGCATTTATTTTTTATTTTGGTTGTAAGGAAAGAACTCTGGATGACTTACTTCTTATGTTTCCTGGTCCCTATCCTGTTTTCTTCTTTCTTTCTTCCACTTATAAGAGGGGGGGAAAAAAAGGTCAGTAGAAAATAAAAAAGATGGACCAGTAAGGTAGCTCAGTGGACTAAGCACCTGCTTAGGTAAGCACAGGGACCAGGATTCGATCCCTGGGTACCACATGCCCCGCTGGCCCCACCCCCAGGCATGCTGTTGATTGAGTCCAGGCGTGGTGGCACGCGCCTGTAATCCCACTGCTGGGGCGGCTGAAAACAGGAGGATCACTACGAGTCCAGTCTGCATAGTGAGACCATGTACAAAAAGAAAATGAAAAAGACATCAAAGGATAGAACTTTTTGTTCATGTGTGATGCATGACTGTGATGCTTTGCCTATGAGAGGAGATTTGCTATTGAAACACCACGCAGGGAGGCAACTTCTGCTTTATTTTTAAGATAATCTCTCCTTCAGAACTCATTACCTTAACTTTGGGGTTTGGAACAACACATAGAAACACTAGTGTTTAAAATCACTAAGAGAGTAGATTGTAACTGTACCCATAAAAAAAGGACAGCTGCGAGGTAACACATATGCTAAGTAGCTCAATCTAGCCATCCCACAGTGTATACATCTTTCACAATGTCATATTACACATAATAACTATGATTTTTGTTTAATTAAAATTAGTTGTTTAAAAAAATACTAGATCATAGTTACTAATTTCTTATTTGATTCATTCAGCCATCCCTTAATGCCTGATTTTGTCCTAGACCAATTACTAGGAGAAAAATTTTAATATCGTTATGCTCTGTAGTGTTTGGGAAAGTGTGTGAGAGTCTTTGGATTGTATTTTCATTTTCTTTGCAGTTAACTTGACCTCCTCTTGCCCCAGAGGCACACTGCTAAAGCCAGTGTGTTAATTGAGGCAAAAAGTTTGTCACACTTTCTTGGAGTTGTTTTTTTTCTTAATACACAGATGCTGTTGGCTTAGCATATATATTGCCCTAAATAGAATTAGTTTTATTTAAAAAAAATAATTAAATGGTTTTGTTAAAGCATTTTTAAAAATAGTGTAAAAATTCTTTAAGAAGCTCTTGTATGTTCAATTAAAGATTATCTAGTAACTTTTGACAGTTGTAGGTAGAAGCTTATAAAGCTCTCACATAGTGTGAGATAAAAGTTATTACAAGTACATGGAAAGCTAATAGCTCTCACTTCTGAGCTAGGGACTACAGTATCTGAAAGGTAGATGGCTTTCTTATTTAAACATTGTATTTCCATTACCCGTGCTTGCAGTTTCATCTTCTGTGAGGACCTCATGATACACCTAATTATGATTTATATGTTGCTGGAGGAGAAAGCCAGGTGGCCCCAGGTCAGCCCACTGGGGGCCCTGCAGCTAGGGGAGCAAGGTGGGGTGTTTGTAAAGGACAAAGTACTGTGACTATTTTTTTCCACCTTTTTTTTTTTTTTAATGTATTTGGTACAGCTCTACAGCTTAGAGTCATCGTGATCCTCCTGTTTTCAACCTCCCCAGTGCTGGAATTACAGGTGTGTGCCACCACACCTGATCTCATTGGTTGGCTCAGTACGCCTGGGGGCATGTAATGCTGGGGATGGAACTCAGTCCCTGCGCTTGTGTAAACAGGCACTTAGTCTGCTGAGCTATCTCGCTGGCCCACTATTTTGTTTTGATGCTGGAAAATAAGTTTATACTCTTCACATTAAAAAAAAAAATCTGGGTTTTGTTTTAAAGAAAGAAATTCTTTTCTAGCCATGAAGAGGGACTCACCGTTAAAAAACACAAAACTGAGGAAGGGGAAGCCCACTTCAGTGTCTCTAGTGTGGCTGAAGGCAGTGTCACCAAGGTAAGCAGGGCTCTTCCAGTGTGTGTGCAGAAAGGTTGGGGCTTGGGGAAGATGGTATCAGCTTGTGTGGTCTATGAACTTAGCATGTAGGCTCTTCCATCATAAACTTCTTTCATTTTGTAGTAGGGTTTTTTTTTTTTGGCCTGCTCAGCCTACCCTGAGGGCAGGACTGGCGCAGCATATGGTACCGGGGATTGAACTGCAGTCCCTGCACCTGCCTAAATTTGCCTAAGCAGGCACTTTAGACTGCTGAGCTATCTCACTGGCCCCTCGGTTTGAACAGTTTGCACAACATGAAAAATCTTAGTGGTAGGTTCCACCCTAACCTCCCTTTACTGAAGATTGAACCCAGGTCCTTTGCACTTAGATACACCCACAGCCTTTTTTTATTTTTTATTTTGAGACAGGGTCTTGCTGAATCACTGAGTTGCTTAGGTTGAGTTTGAACTTGAGATCTTCCTGCCGCAGTGTCACAGTGTACTGGGGTTATAGGTATTTGTTATCATCCCTGTAGTAATAGCACTTTTTGTACAGATTTTTTTTCTTAGCTTTATATTGCAAGTTTTCTTTTAGTCAAAACAATAAATGAGGGTTAATGGTCTTAGTCTTACTCTCTAGGAACTTTAAGTTTGTATAATTTCCCTGTGTCTTTTTCTAACATAATTTCAGAACAGGATTCTCAAGTTTAGGATTTCATCCCCAAGTCATGTATTTTGACATAAAGTGCTTTATTTAATGGGAAGGTTTTTGGAACTTGAAAAGACTACCTTATTTTAAGCAGTTTTATTTTGAATCAGTGGATTTTTAAAATTGTGTCTTTTTAGCAAATTACAGTGGCAAGGAAGGTAGGCACTAAGGCATGTCTTTGGCGACACCTCAAACAGAAATACTCTCAAAAAAATTGAATGTCTTAAGCTGGGTTTAGTGGACATGCCTGTAATTCCAGTACTCTGGAAAGCTGAGACAGGAAGATGGCAAGTTCAAGGCCAACTTGGGCAACTTAGAACCTGTCTCAGAATGAAAAATAAAATAATGGACTGGGATGTAGCTTAGTGAGAAGGCTCTGGATTCAATTACCATTGCCAAGAGGAAAAATAAGTTAATAGAAAAATAAATGATTTGGATTTACAAAATGATTTGGATTTCGTTTGGATATTTTATAATATAGGAAAAACTCATCTTTTTGTTCCAAGAACTTTTCTGCTTGCTATTGCAAAGCAGAATAGAAACAGTTCACTTTGTGCTAAGGTTCACCAGCTCTAATAGAAACCCCATGGCTTTCTTTTCTTGTGAGCTTAGTGCTACTCAGGCCTTGTAGGCTGGGGCCAGCAGATTAAAGACGATGGTCAGTGATCAGAAAGTGCCATATAGGATGGCTAGGGTTTGCATCTTTGAAACTCCCCGCTGCAGCACTTTTCCCTCTAGACTGCTGTAAGTCTTTGTACACTGTATGCTTTTACTTACCGGGAATGTGTTCCTATAGAGCATATTTGTGTATTCTACCAAACCTTTGATTCTTTTGGGCCAAAAGCAGTCTCCCTAAAGGGGCAGTTGAGTGAATCAAACATTACGCTGATGTTTCTCATGTCATCATAGTGGGATGAGTATATTTAATGTGACCCCACCCTAGCTCATCCTCCCCTTCCTAATTGGTTTAGTATCAGAATATATAGGCAGGCTGTACCACAGAGAGCCTTCAAGCTGAGCTGTCTGGGCCTAGCATTTTAGGAACCCAACTTTTGGACACAAGTCAGTTTGCATAAAGAAAAGTGAGTGAAAGTAGATGGGCGAACTATGTGACCACTTAGTCACCTAGTTTTTAACAGCCCTGTAAACGAAATGTCAGTGTCAGAAATGGCCTTCCCTTTGCCTTTAAGAGCATATGTACCACATTAAAGCATATTGCATTGCTTGGGGTGTTGCCAACAAGAGAAGTAACCTGCAGGTTCATTGTCTGTGATGTTCCAGGTTGGAAGTGTGACTCCTGCTGAAAACTTCCGTGTACTAGTGAGACAGAAGAATGCCAGCTTTGAGGAAGGTGAGTGATGTGCCACTGGCTTGGAATTTGGGAGAGGGTACTTAATTAGGCTGATTTAAAGCCTAGATTAATAACTGTAGCTTTTGATTGCAGTGCTCTATACATTTATCTTTACTGGCAGATCTTTGTGATTTCTCTTGTTAGACTCACTGAGGCAGCATTCTTAGCACACTAGGCTAGATGCAGTGTAGGCTTGCCCGAAGAAAGAACTGACTTACAGGTCTCTGTGTTACAGAAAGTTTAGACCAGAATCATGGGACTTTTAGTTCTACCTCTTGAAGTTCTTTGGAATCTTATGGATGAATTTGGATTGTATTGTCTGTTTTCAGAGACACACAATTCTTGTTGTAGTTCTGAGAGTTTAGATCCCATTTGTAGTAGTTCCTAAAAGACCTTATTGCTGCCACTGGAGTTGGTCTTTCTCAATTGACTGATTCTTCACATTTTTCTTATCAGATATAATCTATAATTCCATTTAGGCTGGGATTAATGTCAAAACTGCTTTTGGAGATAGACGGAGGGCTTGGGCTCAATATTCCTTTACTTGACTACGTTCAGGTTCCTCTTCACCCTTTGGAAGGGGCAGCTGACAGTGGTTCATTGTGAAGGTTTGTGTGTACCACATATTCCTTCAGTTTTGTTTCCCAAACTAAGGCTTGTTGGTGAGCTACCTTCTGTGTGTGTACTTATGTTCACATATGCACAGAACTCTTCTAAACTGGTGTCATTTAAGGAGGAAAACTGACTTAAATGCCTAGAAACACTGTTCTTGGCATAGGCCTGAGGCGCCTTGCTACTTACACTCCAGGAATCTGGCAAAATACCCAGACTTACTGTGCTGCTGCCCAAAGACAGTCATCACTAGCTGAGCTTCAGAGGGAGCAAACAATCTACCAGGCCAGATTCTGCTGGCAGGAATGCCAAAGGCCAACCCCATGAGAATTTCCTGTGGAAAATTAGCTTTGTCATCATAAAGATCTGAATTGGGCTGTGTATGTTTTGTGTTTTGAGGTGCAAGAATGGTAACAGGAATGGCCAAATAAGAGAAAATGTTTTGAATTGTAATACATCAAAAATTTATGTAATTACTGAATGAAATTCAAAATTCAAAGTGAATTTTCCAGAAAAGTTGATGCAGCAGTGCTTCAGGATTTACTTCTTTCATGAATTGGGGTGATCAGAAGAGACTTATTGTTTAGTAGTTGTGCTGCTGTCTATTTGGCTGTATATTGTGACTCTGGATAAAGGCAGGCAAGCCATTGTACTCTGTTGGTTATCATGATTTTTGTGTTTTTGAAGAAAGATTTAGAGCTTCTTAGCTTTGATTGTTGTCAGTTACCTCAACTAGTCAGGGTCCAAGGTCCTCTCCCTATAAGTGGTCATTCTCTTGTGCTGGTGTAGGCATGTTTTTTGAAGGATTATATCTACCTATGCTGGTCATTATGTGATATCCAGTATTTACTTTGTGTCTGTCATGTGCAAGGCATTGTGCTAGCACCTTAGCATTTGGTTTCATTTATCTTGCTTAACAATCCTGCAAAGTCCCTTGAGGAAGAGGAGAAAATGTTAGTACTTTAATAGCTGGTGCATTTTCTGAAATAATGTTCTATTGTGAAAATATTTCAAATTCCTGGGGGAGAAAGTGAATCTCTGTTCATGGGCTTAGTGGTCAGCCAGTGCTGAGGCTTGAGAGGAAGGGTAATCACTTCAGCTACATAGATGGAGAAAATGTGGAGCTAATTCAGGAAAAGGTCAGGAGAAAGGAAGAAGAGGGACAGGAATGAGTGAATTTGCACAAAGGCATGGCCTTCTTTCTGTACATGTCCCCAAGTTATGGGGACAAGTACCAGTGCCTTTAAAACTGTGGAAATGCTAGGTTTGTATCCTGTCTAGGGAGAAACTGGTGGAGGAGGCAATTTGGTGTCTGTGGAATTTTTTCAGGGTTGGCAGAAAAACCACCTGAGAACACAGGAGATCAGAATTTGGAGGGATTGTGAGTGAATACATTCTTGGGAATAGGGTCAGTGTTAGAAAAATAGGGTTCCTGCAAGCCAGGAAATTGAGGATTTGAAGCAGTCCTGTAAAATGAAGAAGGGCAAGTGGACCAGATGTCATTAGGTTGCTGTAGGTTATTATCTCTATTTTATCAATGAAAAAACTTAAAATTGGAAGAGATGGGCTTTCCCCAAACCACACAGGAATCCAAACTTATGTCTCTTCAACACTGGGTGCTTCTACTTAGCCAGAGTATTTATTCTGTTTCCGAAGGGTCTCCTTTCCTACACTAATGAAGATCGTAAGATTATGTATCTAAAACCTTGAGGCTAGTGAGAGGTGGGACTTTGACTAATTCTCTTTTGTTGAATATGACTAGTGCATTGCTAGTGTGATAGTACATGTCTTCTGTATCTCCATCTAGGTCTCCATGAATAAGAGCTCTCCAGTGATGCCACAAAACCTACACTTCCCATTAGAGCTGTCGGAGAAGTGGGATACCCACTTCCACTTTGTGGCTCTCACATGGCTTCCCTTTTTATCTGTCCCTCTGTTTCCAGCTTCAGAAATTTTGTGTCTTCATTGCTAGTTCTCCTTTTGTTCTTTTGCTTGGTTATCTCTTTACTAAGGTGTTGGCCTGCTTGGGGGTTCAAGGCATATTTTCTCAGATAAGGTCCCAAGGTTAAAGAACACACATGTGCAACACATCAGCAACAACAGCAGGCAGCATGGAACAGAGCAGAGCATAAGAGCTCATGAGCAGCACATGCGTGATTACCTGTGCTAGGTAATATTTGCATAACTGTATCCCACTGTGCACCTGTGCTAGACAAGCGAGGTCACATCCTCAGGTGTTCTTACACACCCCTGAGCTTTGAGGCAGTCTGAGTCGTTCCACACCTAAGGCCCTTTCTGGCCAAGACTCACCTCCCTTGCCGATTAAAGAATCCTTTCTCCAGATTTTAAGTGGCTTTCCTGATAATGGTTTACCTTATCCCTCCTTAAAATAGTCCTCTGTCTAGGAAGGGAAGATACTTCTAGACTCTTGATTCAGTTGTCAGAAGTGAAGTTGTCAGAAGTGACTAACAATACATAGTTGATAAGATTGTTTTACTTTTTTGTAGAACTTGGCTATTTTACCTGTTGTAATACTAAAGCAGGGCATGATTATTTTCTGTTGGCCTTACTGAGAATATGGCAATATCGTCTCCCGATTCCAGCAATCTACAGACAAAGCTACCAGCTATACATTTTTTTACCTTCTGGTTTTCAGTGTGAGTGACATTTCCTGTTCTAATTTTATTGGTAGAGGAGATAGATCACATTCTGAACCCTAAGCAACATGGTCTTCCTGACTGCTGGTGCTTCTCTGCCCCATCTTTGCTACCACCTCAGGGGCCCTTCTTTTTTCAAGTCCCTTTCCTCTTCCCTCCTTATCTGCCCTGTTACTCTGTCATCACAGTTTTCAGTGGAGAAGTTCTTGGCCATGGCTGTGTAGACAGTCATCATCTGTCCATTGGGAAAATAGGGGCATTTCCCTACGTACACTGTTTAGAAGTGACAGTGTCCCTGTCCTCTGTGACCTGTTATATGTGGTTGTGTGGGTTCCACTCAGTTCTCAGAAGCTCATCAAATCGAGCCTGTCAACTTGTGTGAATGTATTCTTGAACCCAGTTCATCAGCAATGCTGCTGAAGTGCACCATGAATTCCCACCTCCTTGTCCTTTTCCTACTTAACTTAGGAAGAGTGCTAAAATGATCAAAGATAGACAGCAAACTGGAGGAGAAGTAAAAGCCATATTATTTCAGTCCTCCACACAATTACTGTGTGATTGAGCATGTCTGAATTCATAAATTCCCACTGAATATGGGACATTATATAAAATAGCTGCAGTGGTCCTGGTTTGTTGGGAACAAGAGTCTTGGAGCCCATCAGAAAAGATGGATATATGGAGACAACTAACAGGATGGAACGTAACTTCTTTCATAGTAAGATGATTCTCTCATTCATGGCCCTTTGTGTTGCCTAATAGTCCATATTAGGCTTCTGAGTAGAGACAGTCAGAAGGATTTTTTTTTTTTTTTTTTGGCTCTGAGTGCCCTCAGGGCAGGTTTGGCTGGCTGGAGTTGTGGGGATCAAACCACAGCAACCTGAGCCTGACAGCTTTGTTGAAGCAGCCACTTAAAGAACTGAGCTACGCGGCAGGCCCCCAAGTAGTGACAGTCATAGAGCACCATTCTACCAAGTCACACTCACATGAGTATGACTAGTTTTATTTATTTATTTATTTATTTATTTTTGCGGAACCAGGGATTGAACTCAGGCCCTTGTGCTTGCCAGGCAAGCACTTATTCTGCTGAGCCCTCTCCCTGGGCCCCAGCATGACTAGTTTAAAACAGACAGTGAAGATACCCTGCAGAGGAATGATACCGACCCCTCAAACGGCTGCTATTTAGCGTTAGATTTGCAAGTGAGTAGCAGTTTGTAGCCACCTAATTAGATAATCAGTTAATTCTGTGGCCGCTGAGGTATTTCTTAATTTGATGGTTTGTGTTGAGAAATCTGGTGTGATTCTGATGAGCTTTTCATTGTAGGTATGCTGAGGTATTTCTCTCCTTTTTCTTTCATTTTGGATCAGTTCTTACCCCAGTCTATTTGACATTGCTCCTTTCCTTATTCTCATTCATAAAAAACATTCTTTCAATTAAAAAAAAAATATTTCTTCAGATTCACTTGACAACTTCTCATAGCACTAAGTAAAATGTCCTATAATTAGTAGTAAAATTGTATTGTTCATCAAAGTCAAATTTTGTTTTTGTATGAGGTAGTGCTATCTCACGTGCAGAGCCGTTTACTTACGCAGATTATGTGATTTTATGTGACCCTAAATGTGGTTCCTTTAGCATTGTAGTCTAGGAGAAGTTTTCTCTGTGTTTGATGTGTGTGTGTGTATGTGTTTGTAAATGGCCTGGATTTATGTGATCTTGAGTATCTTGCATATCGT